GTGGGGGTGGGGGTGGGGGCGGCTTCAGAAAACTCATGGACCAAATCCAGTTCTCTCTTAAGTCCGCTTTCTCAAAAACTTTCTGAAGACCCCTTGCACAGCCTGCATGGTTGTCAATGCACTAAAAAGCAGCCCAACAAAAGCACCGGCGGGGCAGGGACCAAGGTGTGGATGGCTCAGAGGTCCCTGAGGATCCGGCACAGACTGGGGCACCATCGGTGGACACCCCCAGATGATCTCCTTCACACAATGCCAGTGACGGCCCAGTCCACCCAGAAACGACAGGGCTGTGCAGACCATGGGGGCAAGCAGATGCGGGTGGTAAAGAGACTTTGTAAAATCGGAGTGAGTTTTTGTAAACATTGAAGGAGGCAGGTTGGGGAAGAAGTGCGAGTGGGAGCTTGTGCAGATGGGCGGGGCTGGAGCAAAGCTGGCAGAGGGGTGAGAGGGAAATCCGGGGAGGGAAGGGGAAGGGCACGGGAAGCGAGCTCCCAACCCAGACCGAGAAGTTTGAAGTCTGGATGTATAACCACCAGGAACCGAGAAGCAGCACATAGCGAACAGCATTTCTAGAAAGTTCTCCTTGGGGTTGTGTCCGTGCTAGGCCAGGAGAGATGGAACACCTATGAGAATCATCTTGTCCTGATAGGTCAGAATTCAAGGCAGGGCTTCGCACCAGAGCCACCAGGGGGCCCCACTAGAGCTGGGCTCTCCACACAATTTAACATGCTCGTCTCAGGGCGGGACAGTGTCTGTGTGTCATGGGGACTGCAGGGAGGGTGGTCAAGAGGAGGCCTATAAAGCACCAGAGGAAGGGAAGTTGGTTGCTAGGAGCCAGAGCCTGGCACAGATGCCAGAGGAGGAACAGGGAAGGCTGACCTGGGCGGATCTTAGAAGGAAAAAGGGCATTTCCCCCACCCCAAAAGGATAGATTCTACCGCAAGCCACAAATTGTGCCTGAGTGACGAGACCGTCAGTAACCTATAAGGAACGTGTGTGAAAATGAGAAACAGGAGTTCCCTCTGCTCTGGGTGACCCAGCTCCGAGAGCGTCTGTCCAACCTGGCTGGTCGTAAGAGCGCACCTTTGTCCTGAGCTGCGCCAGGGCACACAGCTGGCAGGTGGGGCACGGGATGATCTCACCCCTCCATTTGTGCAGTGTGCAGCCTGGACAACCGCACCTGGCAGCCCTCCCTCGGCCCACCTGGCAGGAGCTGCCTCCCGAGGATGCCAAGCAGGTGCGGGGACAGGAGAGGCTCACCTGTAGGAGGGACTTCAGCAGCATAATCTGGGTCAGCCGGTTCCTGTTCTCCCTGAGGACCAGAGTCACGTTCACGAGGGTGGCAATGCTGGTGGAGACCCCACGGCTGCCTGCTGGCGTCTCCTCCTTGTCTAGTCACCGTTGCTGACACTGACTCCCAGACCCAGGATGCAGACCAGGGAAGGGATGGCTCCCCAAGGTGGGGTGGGGCCAAACTCCAAAGTCCCGGGGGCTCACTCTTGACGCACAGAAACCCCATAGGACAGGCTAGAACTTCCCCTCCCACCCCCATGGATTCCAAGGCTGTTAACTGTTTATGGGAGCACACAACCTCATCTTTATCCCAGGAAACAACCGGTGGTTAAGAACTGCCGACCTTGCGGGGAACCCAGAGCATCATCCGTCGTGCCACCAGGGCTCCCAGGATTGGTAGGGCAGTCTGAGGAATTGCTCTGGGGGGCAAGGGTCTGACTAGAGGCCAGTGAGGGAGTTGGGGGTAGAAAGGGAGACTCCAGGGCCGAGTCCAGGTGGACAAGGGAGGGGAGCCGCTGGGGGGAGGTGTGGAGACCCACCCGGTCCGGCCCATCTCCACGGGGTGGTGCAGGGAGGGCAGCGGGACCTTGCTCATGATGAAGAGGATCACCTCGGAGCGCTGGTACGTGGGCAGCGTGCTGGCAAAGGAACCTGTGGAGGAAGGCAGGGACGCTGCTGCCATGGGGGAGGCTGGCAGAGGCCTCTCCGGCCCACCTTTCTGCCCAGGCCAGCCGGCTGAGACTGCCTCTAGGGGTGTGTGGCACCCTGGGGGACCCTCTCCCCGCCTCTGGGCCCTGCCCTCCTGAGGCCGCAGCGATGGTCTCTGCTTACCACTGTGGGGCGGGGGATGGAAAGAGCTGGACCCAATGTGGGTGTAGGGAGACAGCAGTCAGGGTAAGGTAGGAAAATAGTAATTTATAATTTATCAAGGGGTCAGGAGGATGGGGGGAAGGTGAGAAGGTCAAAAAGAGAAGAGCTGATGCCAAGGGCTCAAGTAGAAAGAAAATGTTTTGAAAGGGTGGATGGTAACATATGTACCAAGGTGCTCGATACAATCGATGTATGGATTGTCTAAGAGCTGTGAGAGCCCCCAATAACATGATTTATTAAAAAAAAAAAAAAAAAAGGGTCGGGCCCAGGAACCGGTTCCATCTGGGCTGCTACACTGTGTGGCCTCAGGCAACTCCCACCTTGGGGTGTCCTTA